TTATAAGCTACCCAGTTTCTGGTATTTTGTTAGCAGCCTAAATGGACTACGACAGGATGCTCACCAGAAGGCACAAAAGAAGGCTGGAGAAACCCAAGACAACTGGGTCAGGTTTAAGCTACTCGTTCTAAAGTCACAATTTATTTGGCAATCTTGGACTTTATCAGAATCTCAAAATACTCCCAAATGTCGTCACTGGTGCTGCTAGCTAGAGCTGAGTCAGCACTTTGAGAATAAGATCAAATAACAGAGGAGTAGCAGATGCATGGATCCCAAACCAGATGAGGGGGGCTTTAGCTTCTGGAAGTTGCTTCTGCCCAAATGGCCCCCTAAGAAGACACCTCACAGGACACTTGGTGCACCCACTAATTCACTTCCAAGGAGACAGAGTTATAAGACTGTTATGGATCTGAAAATACACAGGCTAGTTATGTTTGGGAACATGGAGTTGAGTGTCATTTAGCCTGAGACAGTAACAGGCAAAATTCTTTTCCAGCCTTTCCTCCCTACATGACGCATATAGCAGGCTCCTTTTCAGGATCCAGATCCCAAGGCTGCGTTTTACTGTCAGGACTTTCACTAAAGCACAGAGCTTCTTTCTATCTTGGTCTTCTCTTGAGTGAGAAGCAACATGGGAATCTTTTTTTTTGTTTGTTTGATCAGCAAACATGTCTTGAGTCCTGACTATGTCCTGGGTTTCCTTCCTGGTCTCAGGGTGGATGGTGGCGGACGTCCTAGATGTGGTCGTTGCCCTCTGGCAAGACACGGTGTAGGGTGGTGCTGTCCAGTAGAAGTACAAGGTGAGCCACACGGGCCAAGCTGCCCCTCACTTTGCTGCGTACGCATGTGTGCTGCCATCCGATCCTTGGCCCCAGCCTCCTGGGCACCAATCGGCTTAGCCAAATGGGAAAGTCGTACGTTGCAGCCTATCTACTGTTCCTGTGGGCTGTTGGCAAATACCTTGGGAAAATGCCAGAGTCTACGGGCCATAAGAGTTCTAAATATAAAGGGCTTGCTTGCAGAAAATGGGAAGAACAGTTAGCCCTTTAAACACTGAACCAGTTATTTGCCTGGCTGCTGTTGTGCATTTTTTGTTAGCGAATCAGTATTCTACATAAACACATAGCATGTAACCATTTAACATCTGAAAAATTTAATATGTTGACAATCCATCTCCTGCTTTTGTTGAAAATGTGCCTGACAATCAGCCTTATATGCTGTCGTCGTCATAACACATTCTGCAAATGCCATTCTGGTGTGTTAGTGCGATTTTGTGAGGGAATTCTAGGACATAGAGTAGAAAATAAAATTGAAAAT